GACGGGCTGACGGGGCTACGGCCTGATCTCGTGATCAGGCACGAGCCCTCGAAGTGCGTCGTCATCCTCGACGTGACGGTGCCCTTCGAGAACCGGGCCATAGCTTTCGAGGAAGCAAGGGCGAAGAAAGTCATCAAGTACTCCGCCCTTGCCGAGGAGCTCCGGTCTCAGGGGTACCGTGTCGAGGTGGCGGCTTTCGTCGTGGGCGCCCTTGGCTCGTGGGATCCGGCTAATGAGGGGGTGCTCGATCTTCTGCGCGTTTCCAAACGCTATGCGGGGATGATGCGCCGCCTCATGGTCTCGGATACCATTCGCTGGTCCAGGGACATCTACGTGGAGCACGTGAGCGGCGTACGTCAGTACGGAGCTCCTCCACCTCCTCCTGAGGACGGGAGCCTGGCCGAGCCGCCGCAGGCCATTCGCCGGCGTTGGCCTGAAGCGCTGCGCGGCGATGACTGCGGTGCCTCGCGAACGCTTAGTATGTATGTAACGTAATTGCGATGCGGGGCGGGCCTATTTGAATTGTAATCTCTGCTTTTACCCTGCGTCGGCCCGCCCCCGCCAGGTGTCTGAATGCCGCGTGTTTTTCTCCCGAGTGTGAATGCCGCGTTTATGTATGTGTTGTAATTTTATTTTGCCCGACTGCGTGTCCATTTTAATATATATATATTTTTGCCGCGCGTGCGCTCCCAGTGCTTTTTATATCTCTTGACCCTGCGTATTATGTTATTTATTTATTTATTTATCTATCTGTTTGTGATCGTCCGCACTGGGAGTGGCACTACATTCTGTGATGCAATTGCCCCCGTCTAGCAGCGGGGGCAATGCTTTATTGCGTACCTGAGAGCGAGTGTGGGGGGCTGTGCTCCCCACACCGCGTTACTTGTAGTGCCCACAAGCCGGGGGGGGCCTATTGTCCCCCGGCCATACAGTATTTAGTTGGCGCGCGGCCTTAATGCCGCGAATTTGTATATGTACCCCGGGGGGACTTGTCCCCCTGGGGAAATTAATTGAAAATAAAAGGCATTAATCTGTTCTTATCAGCTTAATATCTGATACAGTCCCCATAGGGGGCTCAGAATATTAAACTGATTTTTGGACCTGGGTGGGCGCACGGAGTTGACTCCGACTCTGCCGCGGGTCGGCTCGGCACTGCAGTACCGCTGAGTCTGGCCTGGTAATTCGTATATTAAAAATTAGTTTTAATTATTTACATGTTTACGGACAGCAGTATAAATGCGTCCTTGCACGGTGTCCCCTCAGGAATCAATTTTCAAGTCTGAGTCCCGAGCCCGGCGCGCCGCGCCGCGCGGCTCCTTGGTTTGTGCGCGTTGACAGGGACTTAAAAATATATTTCAGCAAGAAAGACTTAGCTCAGAGAGGCTCGGAAAATAGTATAGTAAAGTCTTATTTTAATTTGCGACTTGTGCTGTGCCGAGTGTGAATCGCCGCGCGACCCCAAGGAGCGACCGATGTAAAGGTACCGTGATCAGCACCGGAGCCGTTCTGCGGCTAAGTCCCGATCGTCGAGGGACTTAGAAAAATTCACAAGTTAGTACCCCACTGCTGGGCGATGTGTATAATGTATTAGGGGTGCGTTCCGAATTAGCTATATTTCTGATTACAAAGTTGGTACCACTGTAACTAACTTACGTAGGTTCTGTAATGTATCAGCTGATTTCGTTTCTTGTGTTTAATGTAAGAGAATAAGTTTAATTAATAATATGTCTAATACAATTAATCCTAAATATTGTGAAACCGAAAAGAAAAAGTTTACTTTCGTAGTTTCGAAAAAAACTTATTTGCATGCTAAAAGCAGTAACTAAAAAGTTTTAATTATTTTCAATACTTGTTTAATTAGACTGACTAATATTTAGACTAACTAATAAACAAGTATTGAAAATAATGAAAACTATTTTTAGTTTACTTATAATACTGCTTTTAGCTTGCAAATAAGTTTCTTTCGAAACTACGAAAGTAAACTTTTTCTTTTCGGTTTCACAATATATTTCCAATTTATATTTGGGATTAATTGTATTAAACATATTATTAATTAAAAATTTATTCTCTTACATTAAACACAAGACGAAATCACGAAAGACGATCTGCTGGTCAAACTCCGCTTAAGCCGTTAAAAGTTCGATCCGCAATTTCCGCCGATTTAGTATCTAACGCGTAATTGTATCTACTGCGCTAGTCTGTCCTAAAGATCCTCTAATAAGAGTCTGGCCCATGGACTTGAAGGACGGAGAGTTAGGGCCGGGGGGTTGAAGCCTTGGTGGGGAAGGGGACTTAGCTTTCAGCCATCTTGTTAGGCGCCATTAGTGCTGCTATCTCTTGAGTATATGCAATACTACCTTTGACTAGTCAAAGGTTTATCGAAGTATTATTAGGTTAAGGTTGTTTTTTATTGGAAAAACTACAGATACCACAATAAGTAAAAGACATTTTTATAATAAATTAGTTTTATTTTCAGAAAAATAAATTTATAAAGTAATAGTATGTTTCTTTTTTCCCTTTACCGTATAAGATTTTGATACATAATACATTAAAATAACGACAGATAGCAGCACTAATGGCGCCTAACAAGATGGCCGAAAACTAGATCCCCTTCCCCACTTCGGCTTCACTTACCTCACCTACAAACCAAGTTTACTCTCCGTCCTTCAAGTCCATGGTCTGGCCATAAGAACGCCCGGTTTTTATTGGTCCATCAATTTGTGGCAATTCCCGCTCATATTTGAATCGCAATAACCTTGCTATCGACTTTTAAACGTTGTATGCAGTTGTATGTATGTAATAAATACAAATAAAAAAACGTAGTAAAAGAATAAAATATAATGAGTTTGTTTTATGTAACAATTTCTAAAAATATATATTAGAAAGATAAAATATTCCTTATGGCTAATGTCTGTTTAGATATAAACAATGAAATAAAGTTTATACAATTTGTACAGAAAAATACTAGCTGTAATAAAACAGTTAGTGATAAATTATTGTTGTTTATTTACTGTCATAAGCTTAAATTCTTGATACTCGTATTAAACGATCGGTGTAAACTAGACAATTATTGTATACAAGTACTGAAATTATTGAGTAACAATTGATCAATATCCAAAATATTACAGCTAATAATACTTTCCTATAGGAAGTCAAATAAAAAGAAAACATTTATTTAAATACAATTTGTATCACAGAATAATAAAGCAAAAATACAAATATTTAAATACAATTTGTATCACAGAATAATAAACAAAATAGTATAAATATTTAAAAACTATTTGTATCACAAAATAATAATCAGAAAAATAAAAATATTTAAATATAATTTGTATCACAAAATAATAAACAGAGTAATATATATATTATTGAAATATAGCATGCTTGGCCATTGACTTGCTGCCATATTGATTACGCACAATAGCCTTTTTATTAAAAATTTTTAAACGAAACGCTGCAAATCGTTTTATAATTTTAAAATACAGCCTATGGCAATCTAAAATATGCTCAGCATTAATTTTTGCAAACTCTGTACTTAAAAATAATTTCAAATCAATGTTTTTTAAATTAATGAAATAAGTACTATAATAACGAAATATATGTTCCAATTGTATAAACAGCTTAAATGTTTTTACATTAACATAACATAACGACTGTTCTGTATAACATTTACGTTGAACCAACTTTGTAAATATAAAACGCAATGGAGTTGGCGATCGCACTGATTGTAAACATTTATTGCATGTTGACACATTTTACTAATAGACGTAATGAGGTAACCGGCTATGTTGTACAAAGAATTCAATTCTAGGTTTGACAACTGTGATATTTTATTTGCATTAAAGGGAGGAATGTTAATAAAGTTTTGATTTTCACATACATCTGTCGCAGATTTATTGATTTTCTCTGTTGCTAAATATTCAAGAAATCCTGGCAGATATTGTTGGTCGTCATTTTCATAACTGGAAGTGTTAATATTTTTCATATACATTGCGATAGCTATCAATTTCAAGTCATTTGTGAATTGTAGTGGATTTGGTATAACATTTTTTTGTCTAATTTGAGAAAACAAATTTTCCATACAATCTTGTGTAAATCGCGAAGTAAAAACCAATTGAAAGTTCCTTTGTTTAATTAAGTAGTCCGTCAAATCAATGATAGATTGTGTACTTATCATTATCCCTCTTTGCATGGGTTTAAATCCACCATTACCTATTTTTAAATGTGTACAAATATGAATGATTTCGTGCAGAAATTCAATATTTTTGTCATATATGTTAATATGTTTTTTACCCAATGCTATCTTTGAATATCGGGATGTCATTACAGAAAACCAAGTACTAATAATTTTAACAAACCACGCAGTGCAGTTATACTCTGGTTTCTTATTCTCATCTGCTAATAATTCGAATGCAGAACTAACGTCATGAGAAAACACATGTTTTGCTTTGTTTACTTTCATTTTGTTAAAAGTGTTGCATTTAATATCGTCTGCCTTTAATGCAGGTGTTAACAACAAATCAGAATTTTCTTGAATATTTAGCAATTCATTAAAATGTTTTAACTCTATCTTATTCGAGGGTAACTTATATTTACGGACTATATCGTCAGAAATAGTTATCGTTTCATTGTTAACTAATGCTTGCTTCAAATTTTTTAAAATGTGAGGTGGATCGGCAATAACATACATACAATTACGGAATCGAATGGATGGGTAATGAAATTCTGTATTTGACTTAATCTACCAGTGCTAATGTTCAACAATTTCCATAAACCGATATTTCCGGCACCCATGTCCGATGTAATAAAGTTGACATGAAAACCAAGTTCTTCTGTGTCATGTATTATCTGAAAAATTATGTCTTTTAATACATTACTACTAAAACTGTTTCCTGTAAAATAATATGCCACCACATGCTTCCATCGAGTACCGATGCCAACAAGCATAAAAACCATAGCATGCGTAGCTATACCTGTCTCACCGGGAAATGTGATATTTCCCACCAACGATCCCGTTGCAGAATTATAACATTTCTTTGGTGTTATACTCATTTCATCGAATATTAATCCACATTCGATATCTATTTCTGTCGTAAACGAAGATTGTTTAAATTTCAAAAACTGTAACATCTGCTTTGATATCCCGGGTTCAAATTTACAGTTTTCTAACTTTCGTCGCAAAGTTCTTATACTAGGAAACGGTATCCCTTGTCGCAGTAATTCCTCGTACCCATTAGTTCCACACGCAAATTTTAATTTGAGTGCTTGTTGCATTGTCACGTTCGACCAATCCCGAATGCGTTTTTTGTACATAATGCTGTTATTTGGTCGTCATTAAATATACTACTTAAAGCTTTTTTATACTTTTCATTCTTAATAATGTTATTAATCTCACTTTTTAAATGTTTATTTGTACATTGCAACGCTTTCATTTTTTTACTCATGGCAATAAGACGTAGACGCAGTTTCTTCATTTGTCCTTTGTACTTCTCAGTTTCCTCTTTGTCACTTTGTATTGTTTTACTTCCGGATGATATATTTACAGTCGATGCAGGCGTATTAGTGTCATGTGTAATATCCTAGAAATATTATATATAATATTTTGTACTGTAACCCATTTGCTTCTTGTAATAGACTTACTGTTCCTATCTCTACTTCATGTTCAACATCATCAGTTATACGCTCTGAGGTATCTGTTATCATAACCTGGATAGATTGTGCGTAATTAATTATAACATTTTCCTTTTATAATATACTAATTACTATTAACTTTAATAATAAACTTACTGTTTCAAGATTCTCTTCTTTCTTTTCAACATTATCTATTGTAGGCTCCAAGGTGTCATTTATATTGGTTATTTTATCAGCATTAATACTGCCATCAGTTTCGATGTTTTTTGATGGTACTTGCTTTTTTAGAAAAAACCCAAATATGGTTGGAATTGCATCTTTTTTAAATTTGTGTTTATTACCAGGTTCCCACATGTCTGATGCAAAATGAACCTATATGTCAACAATAGTTTAGGTATATAATTTCATCACGATTATAAGAAAAGCATTGCAATTTTAGAACATCTGTGTTATTAAATAATTCATATTATACGTATTATTTTATTAC